AAAAAAAAAAAAAAAAAAAAACCCACTAAAATAACAAAGAATGATCAATGACTGGATGAAGGGGAGAGTGCATAAAACAAGACTGGCTATGACATGGTAATGGCTGAAGTTGGGTGAAGGGTACTTGGGGGTTGATTATACCTTTTCTCCACATTTGCATATGTTTGAAATTTTCTATAATAAAAAGGTTTTGAGGATTCAGATTCAGGGTTGAGATTCTCTGAGGGCTTGCTGTAGGTTCTGTGTCAGGTCCAGACAGAACAAAGCTGACAGACACGAGTCCCTGATAAAGTCTAATCTTACAGTTCTCATGCAGCAGTGAGCATAGAATCACCACAGGTGCTTGCTTAAGAAGATTCCAGGCTCCACCCCAGAAATGCCAATTGAGTTGGTCTGGAGTGGCGCCCAGAATCTGCCTCTTGAACAAACATCCATTGCCTTCATCCAGGGATTCTGAGGACAGGAGGCTGGAAGCACACTCAGGGAAACTCTGTTCTAGTAATTCTCAGTTGGGGCTGTGCATGATATAAGATCAGGTAGGCCTTACCTTACTTGCATTTAGCAGTAGGATCCTAACAGAAACCACCTGGTCACAGCTGAGCTGCTGCTTATGGAATGCTCACCCCAAGGAAAATGTCAAGGACACGGTTAGCAGGAGACCCAAGCCAAGGTCTGTTGGCCACAGACAGTCATCCCCACCTTCTTTTCCTCTTCTGCTGGCTAGGGGCAGAGCATCCAGAGGACTCTAGGCAGTAGGATAGAAGGAGCCACAAGCTAGCAAGAGCCTGGGTCCCTGAATGACTGTGTGGATCATCTCCCCACCCAACCCTGCCAACCCATAGATGAAAACAGACCTTTATTTGTATTAAGGCTTGAGTTTAGGGGATTATGTGTTACAGCAGATGATCTACCATATTCATCTCCTGTTCACTGTCATCTTTCAGTGTGGAATATAGAACACATGTCTTTGTTAGAAGTAGGGAGACATTTGGAGGGTCAAAGTCTTGCTCCCAAGGCCACTCTTGGGAAGATGATTCTGGCCTGCCAGACTATACCCGAGGAGCACTGTTGGACTGGCTCTTCCAAATACAGGGTGAGGGGAAAGGCAGGCCTTACTCTAACTAGTCCTCCCCTGCTCTCGGTTCTGAAAAGCCTCAGGAAAGGAAGCAACTGGGAAGCAGATACTCTTGTGGGAAAATTACTCACAGCAGCCAGTCTCTTCTGCTTAAGGGTACAACACGGGCTGCTGAGCAATCAGCTCCTCCTCTTGACAGCGGGGCCAAGGAACTCATACCCTTCCTCTTGGGTCCAGGTGGGCAGATGAGGGAGGCCAGGGAGGAGAGGGTCCCTAGACATCAGCTTCTGCCTGGGCATGCATGCCAGGCTTTCGGTCCCTGGAGCCAGCTGCCTCACTCAGGCTCTCCAGAGATTTGTTTTTTGTTTGTTTGTTTTTCTGAAACAGAGTCTCAATCTGTGGCCAGACTGGAATGCAGTGTTGAGATCTTGGCTCACTGCAACCTCGGCCTCGGGTGCGAGTGATTCTCCTGCCTCAGCCTCCCGAGCAGCTGGGACTACAGGCATGTGCCATCATTCCCAGCTAATTTTTCTATTTTTAGTAGAGACGGGGTTTCTCCATGTTGGCCAGTTTGGTCTTGATCTCCTGACCTCATGATCCACCCGCCTCAGCCTCCCAAAGTGCTGGGATTACAGGCATGAGCCACCACGCCCGGCCTTCTGGAGAGTTTAAAGAGAGGGCTGGCTCTGGGGCTGTAACCTGCCCAGTACGAGCAGCACCGGCTTTGCCAGCTTTGCTCAGCCTCTGAGGGCTCCTTTTCGATGAAACCTCATAGCACCTAACCCTTTAACTCATTGGTCTCCATTTTTATCCCACCCCACCTACTAACAGCAAGTCAAGCAGGCTAGAGTGATTCATTACTACAGAGTGAAATGCAGCATGTTACGAAGGAAGGAACCCTGCCACCATCTAGGTGTGTGGCTTCAGGTACGTTCTGTAAAATGGGGATAACTGTCCTGATCCTATCCACTGTGTTCTGTAAGTTGGGGGCACTAAGCAAATGAGAAAAATAAACAGGATGGGCTGGGTGTGGTGGCTCATGCCTGTAATCTCAGCACTTTGGGAGGCTGAGGCAGGTGGATCAGCTGAGGTCAGGAGCTCGAGACCAGCCTGGGCAACATGGTGAAAGCCCATCTCTACTAAAAATACAAAAATTAGCCGGACATGGTGGCACCTGCCTGTAGCTCCAGCTGCTCTACTCGGTAGGCTGAGGCAGGAGAATCACTTGAACCTGGGAGGCAGAAGTTGCAGTGAGCCGAGATTGCACCACTGCACTCCAGCCTGGGTGACACAGCGAGACTCTGTCTCAAAAAAATATAAATAAACAGGATGACTGCTGGCCAAAGACAGTCATCCCCACCCTCTTTCCCGTCTTCTGCTGGCTGGGGGCAGAGCATCCAGACGACTCCAGGCAGTAGGAGAGTTACCAGGTGCGTGGACTGTAAGGGATGGCTGCTTAATGGGACCGAGAGAGAAGCAGTTTTGATGGGGGAAGAGTACAAGGGTGGGGTCTGGCGTCAGCTCAGAGGAGGGGCAGCTAGGGGCAGAGGAGCCCCTGGGTGACTGGAGGCAGGGCGTGTGCTTAGTGGGCAGGAGGAGAGCTTGCAGCCTTGAGACTGAAATTTCAAGGCAGCAGGGAGTGGTGTCATGGGAAAGTGAGTGTGGCTTCCCAGGCCCCAGCTTCTCCCTCTGCCCTGGAGAACCAGGCAGCCGAGGGCCTGCTTGGCTGGGATGAGCCTTTGGCAGCTGCTCCTGCCTGTCTCCTTTCCAGACAGGTGCAGTCACTCACCTGAGGGCTCTTGGCTGCCCATGCCCTGACCTGGCACCTATCCTGGCAGGGAGCACGCCGGGCAGGCTCTACCCTCACAGTCAGGCCCTTTCCATGAGCTGCTGGCTGGAGCCTCCTGGCTCCCCTATCTGTCTGGGCCTAGACACTGTCCCTGCTGGTTCCTTCTGCTCCTTAAACTCATGTTTGACCATCTGCTGGCCCCAGAACCAACCCCTGGCTTATTCGCAATCCTGCTGCCCTTACAGGGCCCTGATAACAGTGAGTCTGCCCCCTCCCCCAACCAGACAGATCAGAGGTTGTCAGAAGCTCCGAGCTGGAAGGAACCTTAACACTTACCTGTTCACTCCGTTCTCTTTGTGTACAGAGGAGGAAACTGATACCCAGAGAGGGAAAAGGACTTGCCCAAAGGAATCCAGCAAATTAATGGCCAAGAGAGGCCTGGAGCCTGGGCCTCCTGACTCCTATTCCAGGGCTCTTTCCACCTTCCCAAACCCTTGGCTGTCTACCAGGGAGTCCACACAGCTCCAGGTCCTGTGTCTGCATAGGGACCTGACATGACCCTGGCCAGCCTCCTTGGCTCAGGAGTTCCCTCCAAGCTGCTTGGGATCTGGGGACGTGCAGGGCTCTGGGTGAGTTGTCTCAGCCCAGACACCAGGGTTTGCTCAGAGCCCAGCACCACAGCCTTCAACCAGGGCTTCAAAGAGGCCAGGGTGGGGCCAGAGCTGGTCCTGTCGGTGTGTGGGGCCCTTGCCCTCTCCCCAAGGCCCACGAAATTGGCTGTATCTCTTCTCACCCTCCTTTGATGTAGTCAAGGAAGGTGCATTCTGACTCCACAGCAAAGGAAAGCAGGGTGACCTTGAAAACAAAAGGGAGCTTGGTCAGCGGGGAGCGTGGGGCTGGCGGAGACGGGTTACGGTTCGAGCTGACATGACAGAACCCTTGGCACGTGCAGTTTTGCATGCATGACTGCATGCTCTGCCCACACCACCCCACGAAGTACTATTCTTATCCCCACTTTATAGCCAAGGGAACTGAAACTCAAAGAGGTGATGCAATGTGCCCAAGGACACGGCCAGGGCAGACAGATCTGAAACCAGGGTGTGTCTGACTTTAGAGCCTGCATACTCTTCACCTTAATGGAAAGGTCCCATCTGTCAGTGGAGCAGCGCTAAAAGCCAAGGGCATTAGTTTCCTTTAAGTGGGCAGTGACTCTCCAGCCCCAGGGCCCTGGGGTGGGGTGTGGAGGGCAAAGGCCCCCCAACACAGGCCTAACAACCTCCCAATGCCTACAAGCTTCACACTTCTATGTGCCTCGAGCTACTGGTCCTGAAATGTGCCTCTCTGGGCTGTGCTTATCTTAAATCTTACTGGTCCCATCTCATCCCTCTCAGACCCAAGACCCTCCCTCCTAAGCAGTCCATCCTTTCCCCAGAGGTAACTGACCACCCCAGGCGCCCTCCCCCAAGCAGAGCCTTTTCACCTATACCCTGGCGATGTTAGCATTGGCTTTGCCAAGACAGGCAGGTACCTGGCAGCTCATTATCATCACAATTTAGAATCAAGGAGACAAATGAAAGCCTGACATCCTAAAGCAATTAAATGAGGCAATTAGGGCAGAGGACCTGATCTTTTACCTGTGTAAGACAACTCCTCTCTAGTAGTTTGGGAGCCACTGATTCCTGCAGATTCAGCCATTTTTATAGGCTCACTGGGAGGGCCAGGTGAGACCACCACCCTTACTTGGCAGTAAGACCCCCACCTACTGTGGTTAAGGTGTTAGGCACCTGGATGAACCATGGGCTTCCTTCCAAGTGTGGCAGCTCAGACTCACTAGGCGTGGACCATGGCGTGGCTTCAACCCTGACCGATGATCATGAGATGCCCTGGGGTGCTCTTAGATCATCCTGCATCCCAGACCCATAATAGCAGAGTTTCTGGGGCTACACGAAAGTCTCAGAGATCTTTCGTTAGCTTTTCACATAAGTCTAATCTGCAGCCAAGTTGACCACTCCCCATTCTAACCCCCAGGATGAAGCAATGCCCTGAATGCCCTGATGATATGATTCACGCAGGGACTTGCAGGGTGAAAGCAGACTTTCCCCTACTCAAGGTATAGTGTCCCTAGACCAGCCGCATCCGCATCACCTTGATGCCAGGCAGAAATGCAGAAATGCAGATTGTTGGCATTTCAACAAGATCCCCAGGAGATTCCGAGCACCATAAGTTATGAAAAGCACTAAACAGGCTGGGCGCAGTGGCTCACACCTGTAATCCCAGCACTTTGGAAGGTCGAGGCGGGCGGATCACCTGAAGTCAGGAGTTTGACACCAGTCTTGACCAACATGGTGAAACCCCGTCTCTACTAAAAATACAAAAATTAACTTGGCGTCGTGGCATCCGCCTGTAATCCCAGCTACTAGGGAGATTGAGGCAGGAGAATCGATTGAACCCGGGAGGTGGAGGTTGCAGGGAGCCAAGGTTGTGCCATTGCACTCCAGCCTGGACAACAAGAGGGAAAATCCATCTCAAAAAGAAAAAAAAAAAGCACTAAACACAGATTCCTGGGCCTCCTAAAGTGGAATCCCAGGGAACTGGCCTGGACATCCGTATTTTAACAAGCTTTCTTGCATCCTGGGTGATTTTTTGGTGGTGAAGATGAGGAAATGTCAGAGAAAAGTCAAGAGACTTGGGCCTAGACCTGCTGTGTCTCTAACTCACTGTGTGACCTGGGACAAATAGCATGCCTTCTTTAGGCCATAGTTCCTTCATCTCTAAAGTAAGAAGGCTGGATGAGATTAGTGGTCTTTGAATCTTCTTATTCCCAGCTGGGGAAGGTGCTACCTTGCCTAGAGGAATGTGGGAGAGTTTAGGGGGCTCTCATAATGACTGGGGGCTCTACTGGTAGCTATGGGCAGTGGCCAGGGGTGCGAAACATCCTGCGAGGTGAAGAATTTTCCTCCCAAACGCTGACAGCATCCCCACTAAGAAACACCACAGCCTTGGACAAAGGAAATATGACTCCAAGCCCCAATGTGCTAAGCAGTTATAATCAAATCAAAAAAGGTGGTGTTCAGTTCCCTTTGAATGAGCAGAGTAATTTCACAGTTCACGAGTCTGCATCTCCCATGTGTCTGTCACAGCCACCCTGTGCAGTGGCAAGGTAAGAATGATTTATTAGTCCCACTTGACAGACAGAGAAAATAAGTTTCTTCAAAGGAACCCCAGAGCTCCTGAAGACCTCTTCTAGGTCTGGAGATGCAGTCTGCCTGACTCAAACGACCAGACTTGGCTGCACTAGCCATTGGCCTCTAGAGTGAGGAAGGAACACAGAGAGGATGAACTTGGGTGTGTCTGCCCCCAAAAAGACAGTGGCTTGTATTAGAAATGCACTGTGAGCTCCACCCCAGGGCCTTTGCACATGCTATTCTCTACAGCAGGAATGCTGGAATTCCCTTTCCCCAGTAGCCTCAGTACTTCCTCCATTGCCTGTCCCTTTGCTCTTTATACTTTTTCCATAGCATGCATAATCAACTGACACAAACAGGGGTGTGTGTGTGTGTGTGTGTGTGTGTGCGCGCGCACGTGCACGTGTGTGTGTGTGTGTGTGTGTGTGTGTCCTGTCTCCCCCCACTAGAGTATAAGCACCAGGGATTTGGGTCTCTCTTCTTTCCAGCTGTATCTGAAAACAAGTGGGTGGCACAAAGTAGCACTCAGTAAATATTTGTTGAATAAACATATGAATGTTCTGAAGACCAACCCCCAGAAGCCACTGGGCCACTGTGTCATCCCCGGAAGGTCACGGGTGAGCAGGGGCAGTGCCCGAAGCGGCTGCCAGCTCTGGAGTGAGATGTCATGCTGACTCCCAGCTCCTCCACCTTCTAGCTGCGTGACCTTGGCTGAGTCACCTTCCTGCTTGCAACCTTGGTTTCCTCTTTCATGACTAGGGGATGATAATATCTGCCTCTCAGGGTTACAACCTGTGAAAAGCACCTACATGGGGAATTTCCCAGAGGAGGGGACCAATAAATACGCTTTCTCTTCCTCTTCCTTCCTGCAGGAAGTCCCGTGGGTGTTTCTGTGATTCCTCATGCTAGATGCAGCCAGCGCCTGCTGTGTGGTCTCCAAGTCAACTCCCTCCCCCGGCTGTTGCTCCATCTGCCCCACCCCTCCCCACCCCATGCAGCCCTCTTCCCGTCTGACTCCCACACTCTGCCCATGCACACACACAGACACACAGGCCTCCCTGATACCAGACCTAGCTGGGGGCTCAGAATGTCTACGCCTGGCTGCAGAGAGGGGGTGGCTACTCACTGTGCCAGAATTCACGTATTTCTTTTTCTTCATTTTCTTTTTCGGGTTTACCACCTGCAGGAAAAACCAGTTACCAGGTAAGGTGTGCTTCCAGGGAGTCAGGGCTGGGTCCTGAGGGCTTCTGCTGGCCCCTGGGTGTGGTCCTAGCCCAGCCCCATTAGAGGGTGGGTATGAAGATCACAGGGGCCAGGACAGTAGGGTTTAGGGAGGTTTCGCAGGAGACTGGTATTGAGTCTGGTTTACACAACTGGGTTCTGCTATCAGACCCAGGGTCCCACCATCAACCAAGGGCTTCCCGGTGCCTCTGAGGCTCCCAGTCCATCACCACCCCTCTGACTTAGCAGCATGAACCTCTTTAGCTTTAACTTCCAAACCAGACCTGTGTCAGACAGCTCAGAGTAGGTGCTCAGAACGGGCTTGTTAGTGGCTAACTCAGCGGTCTCAATCAGGGGCGATTTTACCCCCAGGAACATTTGGTAACGTCTGGAGACAGTTTTGGTTTTCCCAACTGAGGGAGTGGGTAGAGGCCAGGGGTGCTGCTAAAAACCCCACAGTATACAGGACAGCCTCCCACAGCACAGAGTGGCACCGTCCCGAATGCCATAGCGCCAAGGCCGAGAGTGGGCTGAGTGATGAGAGCCGCCTGGCCCCGGGGCGCCCCCACGAGACTTCCGCAATTACTGTCTTTGTATTTTCATTTGACCCTCCTCACTTTGTTTTGTTTTTAATAAGGGGAGTCTAGGCACTTTTCCCTAATGTCCCATCAAACAAAGTGAGGCAATTTTCACACCTCCTGTGCGACCTGTCAGTTTCTGATGATCGCATTTCCCTTTTCCCTGTCTTTGCTCCCGCAGAGCCCATCAGCCGATCTTTACTGTGGTCCCTTCTGCCTGAGTGACTATCGCTATCTATTTCCTGAAAGAAGGAAACTAAAGCACAGAGACACCAAGTGATTTGCCTAAGGTCACACAGCCCTCTGGGTAGTGACAGGATTAGAAACCCAGTTTCCTGCCCCCAGGCCAGTGGTGCATACGTGGGTACCACCTTGATAACAGACACAAACACATCCCTTTCACACACAGTTAATGGGGCGGGTGGAAACACATATTTCTTCTCCCTTGGAATCATCACTTCTGTTGGAGAGAGAAGATATGTCCTCAGAGCAAAAAGTGACTAGGGCCATGGAAAAAGGGGGATCACGGAAGTATCAGGGGAGTTGGAGGAAGGAAAGACCGCTGTAGGTGGGAGTGTCAGCAAAGGCTCCCTGGAGCAGGCAGTCTGGAAGGCAGACTTAGAGGGACAGGAAGGCTCTGGGCAGGGAGAGAAGGATGTCGGAGAAAACGCTGTGGGAAAAATGCACAGAACCCAGGCCCGGTTTGATGGCGGAACCACAGGGTGGAAGAGTAAGTTGGGCGGGCTGGAGGAAAGCCTTGAATGCCCAGTGAAAAATGTATAAATGTCACCCAGCGAGCAGCCTGCAGGGAACTGGGATGACCCTCAAGCTGGTGGGAGACAAAATCAGAGCAGGATCTAGGACGCTGGAGCCTGGTAGGGGGAGTATGAGGGGAGGAGGAGGCACATCCAGGAAATACTTGCCTGGTTCTGTCACCTAATAATAGCTGTGTGACCTTAGGCAGGTTACTTGGCCTCAGTGTGCCTCAGTCTCCTCATCTGTAAAACGGGAATTAAAAGCACCTGCCTCCCAGAAAGGTTTGAGATTAAATAGGCCTATCAAAGTGACTAGAACAAGGTTTGGAATGTAGTAAGTATTATCTAAAAGTGTTGCTTTTTTCTTAAACAGGGTCTTGCTCTATTGTCCAGGCTGGAGTGCAGTGGTGGGATCATAGCTCATTGCAGCCTTGACCTCCTGGGCTCAAGCAATCCTCCCCGGTAGCTGGGACCACAGGTACATGCCACCATGCCTGGCTATTTTTTTTTTTTTTTTTTGGTAGAGGTAGGCTCTCACCATGTTACCCAGGCTGGTCTCAAACTCTTGGGCTCAAGCGATCCTCCTGCCTCAGCCTCCCAGTGTGCTGGGAGGTGCAGCCACCACACCCAGTCTCAGTCATTGTTTTTAAAAATTGCTACTACTACCATACTGCTACCATTGTCCATCTGAGAGGCATGAGGACTCGGGGAGATTGGGACAGGTGCTCAGCGATGGTGAGAACAGCACTGTCAAGAAGTGCCCATGCCTCTTGGGCCCTGGGGGCGGCTATAGCGGTTTGAGAGAGGGAGGGATTGGGGTGACCAGGTAGACACAGACGGAAGGTGGAGCTGGGTCTGGGGCACAGGTGGGAAGTTCATGTGGGAGGGCTGGCAAGCTGTGCAGATAGAAACCAAGGGCCTGGGTGAGCTGGGAGGAGCCTGGGAGAGACGAGAGCACTCTCTTTTAGCACTGGAGGACGCCCCTCCGTGGGGCTACCCAGACGGTGCGGCGCTCACAGACATGTTCATGGAAAAACAGCCTACCAGGCAAGTTGTTAAGATGAAGGCAAAATGGCAGCCCCGGTGCTGCACAGTGCCTCAGTTTCCCAATCTGTCCCTTGAGGGTGTTGAACTATGGGAATGGAGAGCATCTCAAACTGTTGCTCCAGCCCTCCCAGCTGAGGAGAAGGAAGCTGGAGTCCTGAGTGTAACCAAAGATTTGGCTACAAGCACGTTTCTTCTAAGCCTTCTATGTTATCTTTAAATTGGCCTGTATTCCACATTTCCACTCTCCAATATAACTGCTTTAGTGTTAAAGCAATGTTCTGTTCTCAGATCCCCGAGGTTTCATGCCCCCAGCGTCAGCCTTTCCCGCCCTGCCATGGTGAATCCCATGCAGAGGGCCAGTGCCACCTAGGGGCCAGCCCAGAAGCCGTGCTGTCGCTAAGCCACCTCCTTTCCCTCTCCTTGGTGGTGAAGCAGGGAAAGGACAGTTCTGGAGTCCACCCTCCTGTGCGCAGTGGGATGAGGGGAGAAATGAGGGGCTCTTAGGGCCCAGGAGCTGTGCTGGCTCTGAGGATGCAGCAGCGAGAGCAACGCAGCCCCCACCCTGAGGACCCCATGGTCTTTGAGGGGGTGGGTAGTGGGTAGTGTCACAAACAAGAAATAGCCAGAGGGGACTCCAGGAGCACTGAGAAGTGTCGCCCCAGGTTCTGGGGTGGAGTGAGTGTGCAGGTGGACACAGCTTCCTGGAGGGGAACAGCCACATGGAGGCTCCGCAGACCAACAGCTCCTACCCAGGAGAAGACAGGAGGGAGTTCCAGGTGGAGGCACCCAAGTGAATCGAGCTGGAGGCTGAGACAGCATGGAGGTTCAGAGAGCCTCAGGTGGCAGGACGGGCTGAAAGTGGGAATGGGCAGAGGGAAGGGGCCGGGGCCAGCTCCAGGGGCCTCCAAAGGCATGTGATGTGTGTTCCTATTTACATGCAAAGCTCACCCCTAAAATCCCAGCACTTTGGGAAGCCGAGGCGGGTGGCTCGCCTGAGCTCAGGAGTCGGAGGCCAGCCTGGGCAACATGGCAAAACCCCGTCTCTACCAAAAATACAAAAAAATTAGCCAGGGTGGTGGTATATGCCTCTGGTCCCAGCCACTTGGGAGACTGAGGTGGGAGGATAGCTAGAGCCTGGAGGCGGAGGCGGAGGTTGCAGTGAGCCGAGATTATGCCACTGCACTCCAGCCTGGGTGAGAAGAGACTCCATCTCAAAAAAACCAAGCAAACAAAAAACATGCACGCACAGATTGCAGGTGGCTGGCTGGGGAAACAGCATCCTGAATGAAGGAGCCTGGACTTCACCCTGAGGGTCAGTGGATCTCAGCTGGGGTGGGAGCATCTTTCACTATCTCCCCCCACCTCCCGTGAGCGAACTAGGCTGAGGTGTCGGGTGGAACACCCAAGACAGGCTTTAAGCAGGGGAGCGATGTGGTCAGATCACCATTTTGGTGGAGTACTCTGGTTACTGGGCAGGGGACAGAAGGAAGCAAGGAGGCTGTGGCAAAGCCCCGTGCGCGGGAGAGGATGAGGGGGGTGGTGGGGGACTGAGATGAAGGAGGGAATGATGCCGGAAAACATAGGTGGTAGAAGGGCAGTGTTCGGTTGTGGACTGGATATGGAGTGAGGGATGGGGACTCCCGAGGAGCCCTGAGCCCCCGTGATGGGAATATTCGAGATGAAGCCTGGCTGCCAGGAAGACGGGAGTGCTGAGGGAGGTTGAGCCAATGCATTCAGTTTTGGAAGGTTGAGCCCCAGGAGGGGCCAGTAGACAGCTGGATGTGGGAGTGTGACACCAGAGCGACGCCAGGGCCCGAGGCATGGGTCTTAACTAGCTGAAGCCTCTTCCCTCTTCTGGCAGTTCTGATTCTAGCAAGGCCTTCCTGCCCTGACTGGCCTCCTCCTGGGACTGCCAGAGGGGAGCTCCTTTTCCACCTGAAGGCCTTCCGATGTGTGAAGACAGTGCTTCTGCCTCCCAGCGTGGCAGTTTCTCTTGTTGATTACAAAGAAGCAGAGATCAACAACTGAGAAAACAAGTCAATCGAATGCTTTCTGCTCGTAGCCCGAGAGAAACGGCTCCTCCTGGGCCTGTCAAGCACCTTTAGAAGCCAAGCTCCGGGCGATCTGACCCCTTCCCTTCACCTCCCTAAATTTACTCCTCAAAGGAGGCCAGAGAACCGTGGAGTCTGCTTCTCTCTGCCTGGGGTGGGGCAGAGGAGGGGGGACAAAAACAGCTTCTCTCTTTGCAGATGCAGAAAACAAAGCAATGTACTGTATTAGAGGCTTTTCAAATAAATTAATCCACACTCCGTCTTCACAACAGCCATGTTCAATCTCATTCCGCATGCGAATGTCTAACGCACCTACAGTGTGCCCGGCAGTGCCCTGGCCCGTGAGAGGAGGCAACAGAAAGGGCCCTTGGGAAGTCTACTTGGGACACAAGACCTGCCCACTCAGGACCAAGATACAGGGCAAGGGAGTGGAGGTAACATGGGAATTGGATTCAGCGATGGAGCTCAAAGCCAGCTCTTCAGCCTGGCTGGCTGAGTGGCCACTAGCATGATGACAGGGCCAGGATGGTAGGATGGTTGTAAAATGGGAGTCTCTGGGCACACGGTGCCAGGATGGTAGGATGGTTGTAAAATGGGAGTCTCTGGGCACACGGTGCTCAGCAGATGATGACAGAAGACAGTGCTGACCTCTGGGTCAGGCATTGCTCCAGTAATTTTTAATTTTCAGTTTGCACGGCACAGATTGGTTCAGGGACATAGCTAGTAAGTGGTAGAGTCAGGATACGAACCCAAGCAGTTACTTGGGTTATAAGTATCTACCATTTAGTGGGTTTGGCGTGAACCATGACATCTGTGGAAGTTCAGATGAGAAAGAATGCACGGGGACGAGAGTGGCTGGGAAGCCCTCCCAGAGGAGCAGGACTGAGCTAGATTTGGAAGGTGGGGAGGGAACTGTAAGAGGGAGAGCTCACGGTGCAACGCGGTGGCTCATGCCTGTAATCTCAGCACTTTGGGAGGCCACGGCAGGAGGATCACCAGAGCCAGGAGGTCAAGCACAGCCTGGGCAACATAGCAAGATCCCATCTCTTTAAGAAATTTAAAACACCAGGCGTGGTGGCTCACACCTGTAATTCTAGCACTTTGGGAGGCCGAGGTGGGTGGATCACCTGTGGTCAGGAGTTCAAGACCAGCCTGGCCATCATGGTGAAACCCCCCCCAAAAAAAAAGAAATTTAAAACATCAGTCAGGCATGGTGGTGCACGTTTGTGGCCCCAGCTACTCGGGAGGCTGAGGTGGGAGCCTGGGAGGTCGGGTTGCAGTGAGCCAGGGCAACAAAGTGAGACCCTGTCTCAAAAAAAAAAAAAAAAAAAGAACACACACACACACACACACACACACACACACACGCACTCGAACACATTCACAAAAGTTCTTCAACAGAGATCGTCCCTTGAGGGCAAATGCTACTATTGTATCTCTAGAGGTGCCTTGCCCAAGGCTCTCCAGCTCTGGGGTTAGAGCAAGGAAGGTATCCAGACCTCATTCTCCTGAAGTTTTCATTCTGAAACAGGTAAGATACTCAGCAGGCCCTGAAACTGTTCTGATTGAAAGCAGAGCGCCACCTTCAACTCAGGACCTCAGGTCTCAAGCCAGAACCTTCTTATACTGGTCCTCCGTGCTCCCACCTCTTTCACTTGTGGGAAGTGCTCTTTATGGGGGCACTATAACTCCGCGATTTGGAATCAGCCAAGTCTGGGTTGTTTGTTTCTTGATTTTGCAATGTACTGAACAGCGGCACTTTGGGCAAGTTCTCATACGTCTCCAAGACTTGGTCTCCTTAACAGTAGAATGGGACAATAACACCTACCTCACAGGGAAACACACAAAGCCCCCAGCCCAGTACATGGCTCACTATAGGTCTCAGTGACTGGGCCACTTGGCAGTGCAAACCCCAGATTGCAGGTGCCCGCCTCACCTCATAGATGTTGAATTGGCTCTGCCCACGGGCCAGCTCCCGGTAACTAGTGGTGAACTCTCCAATGAAGTCATGGCTGCAAGGGAAGACTGCAGCTGAGACCAAGGCCAGGCTGTGCTCTGCCTCTGCCCTGCCCCAGCCTTGCACTCATTCATTTCCCCGGCTCCCAATTCTACCCCGGACTCCACTCCAGGGTCACACGCCAGCAGACAGGCTGGGTCCCTGGGAAGAGAGCCCAGCATTGCACACAGAACAAGACACCCAGTTTTCACCCAATAAAGAAAAGAGCCCTAGAAGAGTGGCACCCACTTCTACTTGGATCCCTGTTTGAACAAGGGTATTTGGGGGATGATTGGGGAAATTTGAATATGAAATGAATAGTGAGTGGTATTTAAGAATATTGTAGCCAGGCACGGAGGCTCATGCCTGTAATCCCAGCACTTTGGAAGGCCAAGGCGGGCGGATTGCCTGAGATCAGGAGTTCGAGACCAGCCTGGCCAATAAGGTGAAACCTGATCCCTATTTAAAATACAATTAACCAGGTGTGGTGTCAAACGCCTATTATCCCTGCTACTCCGAAGGCTGAGGCAGGAGAATCGCCTGAACCCAGGAGGTGGAGGTTGCAATGAGCTGAGATCATGCCACTGTATTCCAGCCTGGGCGACACAGCGAGACTCCATCTCAAAAAAAAAAAAAAAATAAAGAACATGTCCAGTATGACAATGGCGTTTGTGGTAAAGTGGGAAAATGCCCTTATTTTTTAGACATTTCCAATGAAGTATTTAGAGGTAAAATACCATGATGTCTATAATTTAAGCTATATTAGCAAAACATAGATGAAGCAAATATAAAATGTACCAAATGTTAAATTCAGGTAATGGGCTTAAAGGTGTTCATTAAACCCTTCTCTAACAAGATGCTTTTAAAAACACAATGAGAGCGATGTCCAGCTGGGCAGCTGGAAGTGTTTTCTGCAGTGCCCACACCTTCTGGAGTGTTTACGTCCAACACGGCCAAGACTGGTACAAAGCAGAACTTTCACTGACCCCGGGGTTGCCTCCTTTAACTTTCCGGGTCACTGTCAAAGGGGCCATGGTCAGTGTGCTGGCCTGGAGCATCCAGCCAGAGACTGATGCCCAAGAGGCGTCCCTGGGGACCTCCCCTTCCCCTAGGAGTCTACACTGTATCGTGTCTACATATTTACAGCTCTCAGCATTCTGACTATGAGCAACTTCATGGTGGGACCCAGTGGTGGCATCTGGGACTGTCCCCAACTGGCACAGAAGAGACTATTCCAGGCAAAGAAATACAGGCACACAGGGTAAGACGAGGCAAATCGCAGGTGGAAACGTGAAGCTGACTCAGGTCGCTGAGAGGCAAGGAAGGGAGGGCATGGCAGCTCTGGAGTTTCTTGCGGGATGGTTGGTCTTGGGGGAAGGTGAGTTCCTTGGAAGGGGGCACGGGCCTCACCTGGAGCTGCATTTGCATAGCACTTTACATACGATGAGACAAACCCCCTGTCCCAGTCACAGTCTTGGGAGGTACCAGCAGACACTGGGGGACTGTGAAGTCCTCCTAAGTCACTCCTTGATAGTGCCACAGAAAGGGGAGGTCACAAAAGTCAGGTTGACATATTTGGATTTGGCTCAACCGACACATAGAAGCCAGGGAGGGTTCTGGATTGAAGCTTCGAGAGGCTGGCTCTTGTCCTCGTCTATGGATTCCCAGCAGTGCTGGCCTCCCAGAGACCCTGAGTGGGAAGCACGCTCCCAGCAGCCAGGCACAGCCCTGCGCAGGCACTGTCTCACGGCCCCGAGTCCACGCACGCCTCCTAGCTCACCCCCCATAGCCCATTCCCTCAGTCCTGGCTCTCTCCAAACAGCTCCTCTGATGAGCTGAGGGCTGTAGGGGTACAATTGGCCTCCCCGATAGGTTGTGGGGAGTCTCTCAGGGCTGGGCTCCTCTCTCCTCTGTGCCTCGGCCACCCCACAATGCTTAGCCCGAGGCTTCACACAGAAAATGTGTCCATGAATGATGAGGTTCACTGGTGTCTGCGCCCTAGAACATGCGCTCTTCAGAAAGCCCTAAATTCTGCCCCACGTGGGGAGATTGAGGGTACTGGCTGGTCCCTGGGCAGCTATTTGGGAAAAAGGAGGCCTCTGATGCCCCTGGCACTGTATCCTGCAGGCCAGAGGTCCTCTGGTGCCTCTGTGGAGCTGGATAGGGAGGAGCTACTGTGGCAGAAGACCCCTCCCTCGACACGCAAACCCAGGCTCGCTCACCCACAGAGCTGCAGGTGGGAGCCTGGTCACAGCTCTCCAACCCCCTTCCCAGTGGCTGTCCCCATCGCCACTCACCTTCTCACCCTGCCCTCCTGCCCACTTACCTGCCATCCCGATCCCAGTCGTACACCTCCACCTTGATGGTCCTGCAAAACAAAGGCCCTTGCTCGAATGGGCCCGATCCCGCACCCATGTGGCTGAGGATGGGGCCCTCTCCATGTTCCTGGACCAGAAGGGGAGGCCAGGACTCCCTCTGGGGCCTGGGAGGGGAGACAGGGGCCTGAAGACAAGGATCGCCCTTGAGGCCTTTTAGGAAAGGTCTTAGGAACCGGCCAGCCAGGGCTGTGTAGGGACCTCCCAGAATTTCAAGGAGGATGTGGGAAAAACAGCTGCAGACTTCAGCTCACCCCACCTTTTCTTGGCCCCTGCAGAAGAGGCATAAGCCCTGGCCAGCATGGAGCCATGCTGTGGATTTACCAGAGGTGGAGGCGCCGAGAAAGCAGGAGTGTGACACTCCCTGGATCTCAGGCCTTGGCAGGGCGGAGGGGAGGAGAACAGGACTGCTTGGGGAGGGTCTGAGGGCTTTGGGGTGGGAGCCAGCCCTGCGTGTCAGGGGTGAGCCCAGGGCCCTGACTTGGGGATGGCCCGCTGAGCTTTTCTGTCCCCACGACTGGCTCCTGAGTGAGGGTGTAATTATCTTCATATTTTAGCCTGGCTGCTTTAATTAGCTTGTTTTGACTCCTATGCATGCGGATGGGCTTTGAGAGCCCATTTTATTTTTAGCCATGTTCCCATGGCAACAGGCTAGCGGACCAGAGCTGGGAAGAGGGAGGTGGAGGGTTGTGGTTAACTCTTGGTGCCAGCTGCTCAGTCCTCCAGGGATGCCCAGGGACAGGGGAGCTGCCAGGGCCCCATAGCAGGGTGAGGTCTGGGAAGGTGGAAAGGGCCCAGGAGCTGGGGTCTCCAGCCTTCAGTTCTTAGTGGGGCGCACAGTCGCAGCTCCCTGGGCGTCTCTGTTCACATCCCATCATCTCGCCCGTCTCAGGCCTGCCAGGAGTCAGCCTTGGGCTTCTGTGGCCCCCCAGGAGGAGGCGCTATCTCCTTTCAGATGAGCCTCCTCGGGATCGGGGTAGGGGGCGAATCTATGGCAGGGCAGAAACTGTTCCAAATGAAGGAATACACGGGAGGTTGTGCACAGACTGGATTTTTGTAAATCAACTCCTGTACAATGGGGCAGGCATAGAAGCCAACCATTTAAAGGAATCCTTTAAATTCTTGTGAAGAACAAAAAAACGATGTCTCTTTGAGGTGAATTACTGTGGAAAGGGAAAAAACAGCTAAACCCCTGAAGGTGGGCTGATGAGCTGGAAAGATCAGGACGGCCCTAGGCTTGGACCTGGGCCTCTTGCTAGGGGACCTGGAGATGTGGCTGAATCTCCCTGAGCCATAAACCACCACTGAAAAGAGGGGTAATAGTGGCCTTGCAGAACAACTGCAAGAAAAAGTCAGTAAAGCCTGCCAGCCACACGGGAGGATCTCTACAAAAATGCCTCCTTCCCTACTTCATCATGTGGCTGAGCTCCGGTAGATTGTTTCTTTCTTTCTTTCTTTCTTTTTCCTTCCTTCCTTCCTTCCTTCCTTCCTTCCTTCCTTCCTTCCTTCCTTCCTTCCCTCCTTCCTTCCTTCCTTCCTTCTTTTTCTTTTTTTTTTGAGATGGAGTCTTGCTCTGTTGCCAGGCTGGAGTGCAAATGGTGCCATCTCGGCTCACTGCAAGCTCCACCTCCCAGGTTCAAGTGATTCTCCTGCCTCACCCTCCCTCTGGGACTACAGGCACGCACCACCACACCTGGCTAATATTCGTATTTTTAGTAGAGATGGGGTTTCACCATGTTGGCAAGGCTGATCTTGAACTCCAGACCTCAGATGATCCACCCACCTCGGCCTCCCAAAGTGCTCGGATTATAGGCCTGAGCCACCATGCCCCGCCTCTGACAGTTTTTCATATGAAATTTACTTAAATCAGGGGACACTTGCACCTAGGTACTTGGGCTCTGCAACTCCCGACCGCCTGGCCAAATCAGTGGTAGCTTTCCAGACACAGAATCCCAGGCCCAGCTCTGGGCAAGATGCAGGAATCTGTTTTCAAGGCTTCCCTAGTGACTGCTGTGTGTGTTCTGGAGTGATGACCTCAACCCCACTGTCAGATGGGAAAATTGAGCCTTAAGGGCCTCCAGTGACTTGCCCAGAGTCACCCAGCTGAAGGTCTGAGCCAAAACAAGACCAAGTCCCTGACTCTCAGTCCAGGACTCCAGTCATGGCCCCACAAGGCTGAAGTCTCTCTACCCCTGTCTAGTGGCCTCCCAGTCCCTCCCCAGATCCTTAAGCTCTGCAGGGGACCTTCAGAGACCCCAGCAAGGAAAATCTCTCCTCTGACCACCAACGCTAGGTGACTAGATTGGTGATGGCCGCATGCTCAGAAGCTGGAGGACCCCAGTCGTGGCGAAAGCCCTGGATATCCACAAAATCACTGGGGACATTTTATTTTTTTGAGGCGGAGTCTTGCTCTGTCACCCAGGCTGGAGTGCAATGGCCCAATCTCAGCTCACTGTAACCTCCGCCTCCCAAGTTCAAGTGATTCTCTTGCCTCAGCCTCCCGAGTAGCTGGGATCACAGGCACCCACCAACACACTCAGCTAATTTTTGTATTTTTAGTACACATGGGGTTTCACCATGTTGGCCAGGCTGGTCTCAAACTCCTGACCTTGTGATCTGCCTGCCTTGGCCTAGCAAAGTGCTGGGATTATAGGCATGAGCCACCACGCCCGGCTGGGAAATGTTTAATCCTAGGTCAGAGGGTCTGATTTAATTGGTCTGGATAGGACTCAGGTCTGGGTAGTTTTGAAAAGTTCTCTAATGGATTCTAGCATGCAGGCAGAGCCACTGACCTTCTCTAGAGGACAGCACTAGTTTTCAAACTTGGTTGCACTTTGGAATCCCCTTGAGAAGCTTTAGAAGTACTGACACCGATGTCTCACTCAAGAGATTCATGATCAGCTGGTGTGGAGTACAACCTGGGCATGCGGAGGGTGAAAAGCTCCCGGGAGATTTGAACTTGCAGCCCGGGTTGAGACCACTGAGTGTGAGATGCCTGTGTAAACTCAGCCCGGCCTCCATCAAGGCCCCAGGGATGGCTGCAGCCTAGGGGTCAGATTAGCTCAGGGGCTGCAACTCCAGCCTTGGGAGAGAAGAAGGTGAGAGAGATACTGCCCAGAGACATGGGGAAGGTCATGGGGAGAGGACAAATAGGGCTTTTGCTACTGTATTCCTGGTTCTTATTTTTTTGAGATGGAGTCACTCTGTCGCCCAAGCTAGAGGGCAGTGGCACGATCTCAGCTCACTGCAACCTCCGCCTCCTGGGCTCAAGTGATTCTCCTGCCTCGGTCTCCTGAGTAGCTGGCATTACAGGTGCATGCCACCACATCTAGCTATTTTTGTATTTTTAGTAGAGACTGGGTTTCACCATGGTGGCCAGACTGTTCTCAAACTCCTGACCTCAAGTGATCCGCCCATCTTGGCCTCTGAAAATGCTGGGATTACAGGCATGAGCCACTGTGCCCAGCCATATTCACAGTTTTGTGCCTGTCCACCTTGGCTGGGCTGCCCGAAGTCACTGCAGATGCCGCTTGTCATCTGGTTGGCCTTGGCTCCCAACCCCTTAGCACAGGGCCAACCAAAGCTGTGGTCAGACTGTCTGTGACTTCTGGGGCCAGCACCCAAGAGAACAGGCTTATTGGGGTGGGGGGAAATGAAATGGGCTTCTGCAGCCCCCAAAATGAACATCTTATCTGGCATAAAAAGGCTCAGAACACAGAGGCCTAATGTAGGAGGCAGCAAGGTGGACAGGGAAGGCCTTCAGCTCTGGGGTAAGCAGCCCTGGGTGGCCGTCCCAGCTTTTCCAGGTACTAGGCCTATTGCGCTGAACAACTGGCTTAACCTTTGGACACCCCACTCCTTTCCAAATTGAGAAAAATCACACCCACTTTGGAGTTGCTGTGGAAGTAAACTATACCCAAATGCAGTCAGCACTGGACACACGTTGCTCTGTTTCTGTCTAAAACACTCAATTCCTTTATCCAAGCTCCTGTCTCCTAAATAATTCCCACGCTTCTTGAAAAGATCAGCTCCATGAGGCCAGGGCTTTTTGTTTCTTTACTTCTGTACCTTCTGCTTCTAGAACAGCACCTAGCCTCTATCAGGTGCCGTATACATATTTGTCGGCTGACTCAGAGCTCCTAACAACTTTACCAATGGGCTGTGCAGGTAACAATACCTTCATTCTACAAAATCACAAAAGAAGGCCCAGAGTATGTGGCTTTCCCGGAGTCACACAGCTGGTCAGTGGTGATGCCAGGAGTCAGTGACCTGGGCCTCTGGACACCCAGGGTCGCAATGACAGAGCCAGATGTGTATGAGCCTGGGCAAGCCAGCAGGGATGAAGGGTGCCAGCCAAAATGCCAGGCTGCCCTCACTGCACACAAACCAGCTCCATCTATAGTCTCCTCCCAGCCGAGCCGAGCTGCAAGGTCTGCCTCCTAATGAGCCTCTGCCTGGCAGGGAGAAGGTTTCCCTGCTGCTTACAAGTCTTGAGGGCTGACAGGCCCTGAGGGGTTTTGCCTTAAATGGACTCGAGTCAGTCCAACCCTCCACTCTTCAGGAAAAGGAGCATCAGAGCCTCAGCTGAAGCTGGCAGGGAGACTGGCAACAATCTCGGCCCCCAGCCTGCAGTGCACAGTGACTGTGCCTCCTGTCTGAGCCTCAGCTTCCGCGTGTGCAAACAGAATGGTGAGACGCCCCTCATCAAGGCCGTCTGCAGAGGTGCCTGGTAGGGTGCCTGGCCCTCCTGGGAGCTCATCTGTGGCCGGATGCAAAAGAGAAGCAACTCATACATCAAGGGTGCCAGGCAGAAGTGGCAAGCTGCGGTGATTCCTCTCCTCTCTCCAGGTGAGGATTCCACACACTTAACACCCTCTTAAAATCTACTCACTCAGCCTCAAGGTGTGAGCGATGGCAGCCTGACCCAGACAACTATGGTTTTAACAGGGACACATCCTCAAGTCACAGAATGATTAAGACAGTAGGGCAGATT